AGTATGACAGCTAGTGCTTCACACTACATGTACAGTGCATTTACTTACTTGTAAACACTTCGTAGAACTCCAGTCACATGTACATGTACTGTACCAGTATGTACTGTATTGATTCTTGGCACAGGGCTGGACAGTGTCAACACATAATGATAATGGCTGTGTACACCCTACAATCTTGTGTCTGTTTGTCCAAGGGACAGCTGGTGCTTGCTTTTTGAAGTCCTTCAACATCTGAGACATGCTAAAGATCAACTTTGACATGGCATTTGCTAGGCTGTTTTCAAAAATACTGTACATTTACATTTGTACATGTACATGTATGAAAAACATTACTTTGTACTGTACACTTGTACCATCAGTAAATCATATGTCCTTTTTCTCCCCCAAAAGTACGTACCAATTAACAGTATTTTTTTGTACATGTAGATAAGTTATACACTTCTAAATCCAAATTTATCTCATATAAGTACTGGTATATGTACATGTACATGTACCTTTGAATTTTTGAAAAAATTATGAATTTGTTTCCAGGTCTCCATTTTCCTCAAGGACAAAGTCCAGAATTCCAATGGCAGGTTCGTCATTCCACTGGCTGGCCCAGTTCCTTATGGAGCAGAAATACCTGGATCAATAAGGTTGGTATAATTACCATTTAACGTTTTATTTTGATAAGCAACCGTAATTATATAATAGTCATTTTCTTTTGTGTGAATAATCAGCATTTTTATATCTTTCAAGCATTACACTAACTGCGTCCACCCCAGTTTTGGCTTCTAATGTTTGAAGTTAAGCCATTACTGGTACATGTGTACTGGTATACAATGGACCAATGTGAGAAGACACCATAGCTTCAGTTCAGCTTCATGATTTGTGTTCAAAAAGCTGTATCCTCTCCAAGCAATTCCCGTTCACCACTTTCCAGGTTGTATCGTGCTGTTGGGGCGTGATCCCAGGCCACATGGTGTTTCAGGTTTAATGGCTTCTGGCTACAGTGCCTCCCAAACAAAGATAATGACAAATAAGAAGAGTAACTAACATAGGGCTGGATTGGTAGAGCACCGTTACGGTATTCTGGAGGCTGCAGGTTGAAATCCTGCTCCAATCAATTTCTTTGTTCATCTTTATAGTTTTATTTACACTATATGGCTAACAAAAATTTTTTTCATGATGCTTTGAAATTTGAGAGTCGTGGCATTGATAATGTATCAGTATGCACCATTCCATTATCCATTTACTCCAAGGCTAGCACATCTGTGTCTGAATAAGTGATGGTTATTCCTTTTACTCTGCACTTGTCAATGTCAGGTATTATGATGAATCTGGCCTACACATTAAGACAACAGAGTTTCCTTCGGGCAGTAAATATCAAGCATCCTTACTAGAAGGCTCTGTGGATATGAAGGGAGATAGGGTCATCAAGCTGGGTACTAACATGTACAACACAGTCCGACCAACAGATACGACAGTCAGCAGTCCACCACAAAAGACCGTGGTAGTGTCAGCTACAGCAGAAGATGTAAGTATTAATGGGAGGGGATGGGAAGGGTTGGCTTATCTCTGATTTAACACTCAGAAACCTTGTAATTGCTTCTCTCTAATCTGCGGGGGTACAGGTAGTTTTTACCTGTAACTGCAAACCTAAATTATGAGTCTGTGACAAAAGAGCTTTTCCATACTGAATACATGTACATTAATATGTTGATTCTTAGTCAGTTGACTTTGACTGAGAATTGAGTAGGGCTTAAGGCAGTGGCTTTTTTTCCCTTAGACTTGACTCGCAAGAGAATATATTGTGACTTGGTTTGACTTGATTATATTTGACTTAATATTAGCAACGTTTGTCCTGCTTTTCTGTTTGAAATCACAAGTCTGTCAGTTATAGTTGTACTGATATTTGATCATTAGAAGATCTGTTGCGTCAGAACTGTTTTTAAAAAAATCATGGGTCACTTAACTAAAAGGATGTCAGAAAAAAGTATGCAAGTACTTTGTCAAGTTGCTACCTGTGATGCCATGTGGGGACAAGAATCGGTCCTTACCCTCCCTTCAAATTCTTCCAAATCCACCTGCTGGCTTGGGTATTCTTCAGGACCTACATGTACGAAGGTACATGTACATGTAGTGTTACTTGGCATGGACATGATTCCCTTGAAAGGCCAAATGCAAATATTAAAAAGTGGCATTGATTTCTTGCACATTGACAGATTTTGGAGGATTTATGAAGGTACTGTGCGAGGATGTAGTGGATGATGTGTTTGACTGTTTGGCATATAGAGTGTAATGTAGATTCTAATGCTTTGAGCAAAATCTTCCCCTCTCCCAAAAAGTTCAGGGTTGTGCTTTTTGATTCATAATGTAATATTCTCATTGGTTTCAGGCCACAGCAAACCCTAATCCAATGGTGAAGGCAGAGCTGAACCTCTTAGCTCATCTCATGGGGGCGGTGGAAACCAAAAGCGACAAGCCTGGTTTCAGGGTCAACATGTTTAACACTGATGAGGAAGAAGAGTAAGTCCTTGCAAGGGTCATGGGTTTAATGAATCAAGCAACAAAATTTGTGTTATTAGTCTTTGAAGGAAGGCAGCAAAAATTTCAACCTTGAACTTAAAATTATGTATTGGCACCCAAACATATCAGAAAAGTGACCATTACTGGCAGTGGTGTTGCACATACATGTACAGTCGAATTTTGTCATTGCAAACTTAGTTATGGTGAAGTTCTGGGTACTACAAGCACATGGCTTTGGTCCTGGCAAAACATGCACGTCCTGTGTGGGGGAATCTGTATAAACAAAATCACATCTCACAAAATTGCTTTTACTGGTACAATTAAACTCTGTTGCGTATAAAACATTGTTGGCAAACCAATTTGTAATAAGTGTTTACAAATCCTGGACCACGCAATGTCAAGTTAGTCATCAATAGGTGTCTCTTATTGTCTGATCTTGGCCTGATGTAGAATCTTTCATGTGAAGGTACATGTACTTAGTGATGGACTGTGCACAGTCTTACCCAGATGATGCATTCCAGTCATCTGCACCTGGTTTGCATCACCAAATGGACATTATGTAAAAGAAACAATAGCCTATTTTTCAAAGGGCTTTTGCCAGTTTAACCACTACCAGCCGGGGACTCCGAAATCGGAGCCGTATGGTTTATATGTGTGGCCGGGGTCTCCGAACTCGGACAAAGGAAACATGGCCCTGTAACAAAAGACCATACTCCGAACAAAAGACGAGGCTGCTGGGCATTACCGGCATTTTTCACTCTCAGAAGTGGTGATAATCCAGCGTTGTTTTGAAACCATATACCAGGGTTTGGGGCATTGAGAGCAAGCGGATTACCACCGGGGACAAAAGCTCTCCATCACCGCACACACACAGCAC